TTTCTGAATTTTTGAGCTTCTGTATTTCTGAATTTCCGAATTTCTGAATTTCTGAATTTCTGAATTTCTGAATTTCTGAATTTCCGAATTTCTGAATTTCTGAATTTCTGAATTTTCGAATTACTGAATTTCTGAATTTCCGAATTTCTGAATTTCTGAATTTTCGAATTTCTGAATTTCTAAATTTCCGAATTTCTGAATTTCTGAATTTTTGAGCTTCTGAATTTCTGAATTTCCGAATTTCTGAATTTCTGAATTTCTGAATTTCTGAATTTCTGAATTTCCGAATTTCTGAATTTCTGAATTTCTGGATTTTCCAATTTCTGAATTTCTGAATTTCTGAATTTCTGAATTTCCGAATTTCTGAATTTCTGAATTTCTGAATTTTCGAATTACTGAATTTCTGAATTTCCGAATTTCTGAATTTCTGAATTTTCGAATTTCTGAATTTCTGAATTTCCGAATTTCTGAATTTCCGAATTTCTGAATTTCTGAATTTTTGAGCTTCTGAATTTCTGAATTTCCGAATTTCTGAATTTCTGAATTTCTGAATTTCTGAATTTCTGAATTTCCGAATTTCTGAATTTCTGAATTTCTGGATTTTCGAATTTCTGAATTTCTGAATTTCCGAATTTCCGAATTTCTGAATTTCCGAATTTCTGAATTTCTGAATTTCCGAATTTCTGAATTTCCGAATTTCCGAATTTCTGAATTTCCGAATTTCTGAATTTCTGAATTTTTGAGCTTCTGAATTTCTGAATTTCCGAATTTCTGAATTTCTGAATTTCTGAATTTCTGAATTTCTGAATTTCCGAATTTCTGAATTTCTGAATTTCTGGATTTTCGAATTTCTGAATTTCTGAATTTCCGAATTTCCGAATTTCCGAATTTCCGAATTTCTGAATTTCTGAATTTTTGAGCTTCTGAATTTCTGAATTTCTGAATTTTCGAATTTCTGAATTTCCGAATTTCTGAATTTCTGAATTTCTGAATTTCTGAATTTCTGAATTTTTGAGCTTCTGAATTTCCGAATTTCTGAATTTTCGAATTTCTGAATTTCTGAATTTCTGAATTTTCGAATTACTGAATTTCTGAATTTCCGAATTTCTGAATTTCTGAATTTTCGATTTTCTGAATTTCTGAATTTCCGAATTTCTGAATTTCCGAATTTCTGAATTTCTGAATTTCCGAATTTCTGAATTTCCGAATTTCTGAATTTCTGAATTTTTGAGCTTCTGAATTTCTGAATTTCCGAATTTCTGAATTTCTGAATTTCTGAATTTCTGAATTTCTGAATTTCCGAATTTCTGAATTTCTGAATTTCTGAATTTCCGAATTTCTGAATTTCTGAATTTCCGAATTTCTGAATTTCTGAATTTTCGAATTTCTGAATTTCTGAATTTCCGAATTTCTGAATTTCCGAATTTCTGAATTTCTGAATTTTTGAGCTTCTGAATTTCTGAATTTCCGAATTTCTGAATTTCTGAATTTCTGAATTTCTGAATTTCTGAATTTCCGAATTTCTGAATTTCTGAATTTCTGAATTTTCGAATTACTGAATTTCTGAATTTCCGAATTTCTGAATTTCTGAATTTTCGAATTTCTGAATTTCTAAATTTCCGAATTTCGGAATTTCTGAATTTTTGAGCTTCTGAATTTCTGAATTTCCGAATTTCTGAATTTCTGAATTTCTGAATTTCTGAATTTCTGAATTTCCGAATTTCTGAATTTCTGAATTTCTGGATTTTCGAATTTCTGAATTTCTGAATTTCCGAATTTCCGAATTTCTGAATTTCCCAATTTCTGAATTGCTGAATTTCCGAATCTCTGAATTTCCGAATTTCTGAATTTCTGAATTTGTGAGCTTCTGAATTTCTGAATTTCCGAATTTCTGAATTTCTGAATTTCTGAATTTCTGAATTTCTGAATTTCCGAATTTCTGAATTTCTGAATTTCTGGATTTTCCAATTTCTGAATTTCTGAATTTCCGAATTTCCGAATTTCCGAATTTCCGAATTTCCGAATTTCTGAATTTCTGAATTTCTGAATCAGGAAAGCGTAAACAAGTCATGCGAGAGACCTCCGTACTAATCGAATAAAAACCGGTTACCTCAAATTCTATTCAACGGGAAAACCACATAATCCGGCTTTTAATTCTAAGGGTAATTTTAAGCTCCGCCACTTTTTTTCCCGTCCCGTCCTCTTCTATCCTTTTTCATTTCATTCCTGTACTACCTCCCTATGACGCCGTGTCTTTAGATGTCTCTATTATTATTACTGTATTGTTTTTGAACACCTTTTTTTCTAACTACTCTTCTGTGAATACTTGGTGAGAGAAGAATTACGGATTTTTTTGAAAATTTACCATTAAAATAGAAAACCTTGAGATATGAAACATGGTATTTATACTTTGAAATTTGTATTGATTTATTTTGCATTTGGCACTCACCGGTATGAATACCCTACCGCAACCAACATCTCTTCATGTCATAAATATTGTTAATTCTCTCTTCTCCCTCCCATCGCCCTAACTACTAGAGCATCCCCAAAATACCATTCCTATTTTATTAATTAATAAATCTATGTTGTTTTCTAATACAATTGTTTTACCACTACCACGGATCCAACAAAAAGGCTCGCCATTGCACACCAAACACAGAAGCTCATTATGGATGCCAACAAAATATCTTCACAATTCCGAGTACAGCAAGGTATGCAAGTTATGCTTGACCGACCACGAAATTTTCCAATGCCCCAAGTTCCCTTCAGTTNGATCAAAAATTGCAAGAACAATGGAATTAAATTTATGCAGCATTGATCCAGAATCGATCACGTTCCAGCTTCATCTCAGCCAACGAAACTAACAGCACATCACGGTGTATCTTCAAATTGGAATAAATAATTTTAACGAGTAACAATGATGATGATGATATTAATCATTTTATTCAATTTTTATGGACCATACCAAAAAAATACATAAAATATAAAATATACATTAGATATGATCTCAGAATCTCAGAATCTCAGAATCTCAAAATCTCAGAATCTCAGAATCTCAGAATCTCAGAATCTCAGAATTTTAGAATATCAGAATCTCAGAATCTCAGAATCTCAGAATCTCAGAATCTCAGAATCTCAGAATCTCAGAATCTCAGAATCTCAGAATCTCAGAATCTCAGAATCTCAGAATCTCAGAATCTCAGAATCTCAGAATCTCAGAATCTCAGAATCTCAGAATCTCAGAATCTCAGAATCTCAGAATCTCAGAATCTCAGAATCTCAGAACTTGTAATAATCAAGATATTTGTATTTCGGAAAAACTTACTGAAAATATTGGAATCACAAAAATCTAAATCATGATACTAGGAAAAACTGCTTTTCTGATTTTCTCAACTGCCTGGAATGCCTGGTATTCCGGGAATTTCTGAGTTTTCAAATGTCCTGAAAGTTCTGAATTTTCAGAATTTCAAAATTTCAAAATTGTGCATGCCTTCAGTTTTTCTTAAGCTCTTCCCCTGGTATTGTATTTACTGTAAAACCTGTATTAGAAAGGCGTGTAACAAAGAAAATAATCTTTTTACTCAATTATCATACATCATACCAAAAAAAAATACATAAAATATAAAATATACATTAGATATTATTTGAAAAAGGTTCATCATAAAGTTCATCATCCCAGCATTCCGTGTCGCCCCCAGGTGTCAGTGCTTTCTTTACTTTTATAAATAACACATAAAAACCGTGATTCATTTCATCTATAGTTTTTGGGTCAATATTTTTTCCACACGATTCAAAAATCTCGTCAAACTTGCGCCTAAACATTTTGCGGATCGACGGAAAGCGACTATCCAGATATGGTACCGCCGCAATTAAATTGTTCTCATGCTTTTTTTCCTTATCAGAACTAATATAAAAGGAGCGCGGTTCTACAATGTCGTAATAGGCCTCAATGGTAGGCTCAGAGACATTGAAAAAGTTCATATAGTTTGCAGGTTGCCATGGGCGCAGTGGCGCGAAATTTAGTGTTCTACGTAGCTCTGTGAGACCTATGACTTGCAAACACTCTTTCAGCAAAATAGGACCGAGCATTATTGCGAAGTTACGCCGGCCCATGTCTTTTCCGTCTGCTAGCTGTCCAAAATCTCTGTAGTGGAAGCAGGATGCACTAATTTTCGCAATCTCAGCGTCCTCATCGAACGGTTCAGGTGTTGTTGTAGCCAAGCCAGCTGTCGTAGTTGTAGAGATTGAAGCAGGGATAACAGCTGAAAAGTATATTGTTAAACGTGCTTTTCAGTTGACTTTCGGCCATTTTTTCGTAACTTTCGAAAAATTTTTATTGAATTCTTATTGAGTTTTTTTCTGATTATAAAATTGACAAAATTTCCTACAATTCTGTCTAAAAAGCACATTTCTAGCGCTTCTAGGAACCAAGATAGAGCCGCTTCAAATACAAGAGGCTAGAAACGCAGACGACGAGACACGCTGCGTCTCTAACCTCGGAAACTTCAAACGACCATATCTCGAGTTCTAGATGAGCTAGGAAGTTGGTTTTCGGACGGAATTGTGGGGTTTTCGGACGGAATTGTGGCGAAACCGTTAAACCAGCAGAATAATTGGAAGCAGACGATGCGATAAAAATGAGAGAGGATTGGAAATATTGGCAACTGAAATTTCATAATAGACCTTTTTAGAATTTATAGAATAGACAAAATTTCCTACAATTCTGTCTAAAAATCACATTTCTAGCGCGTCTAGGAACCGAGATAGAGCCGCTTCAAGTTTAGGAGGCTAGAGACGCAGACGACAAGACACGCTGCGTCTCTAACCTCGGAAACTTCAAATGACCATATCTCGAGTTCTAGATGAGCTAGGAAGTTGGTTTTCGGACGGAATTGTGGGGTATAAAATGGATTTCCAGATTCTTTTTAGAAAATATTTGATTGGAAAACGTACAGTGGCAATTATGACTATTTTCAGGAGTCTAGATCTCGGCTGGCAAGTTTCCGATCCCTTTGAAAATGTTGGATGGTATAGAGCAGACCGAGATAAAAAACTTTATATTTATGAAATTCTTAAAAGATTCCTAGTTTTACAGCAATTTGCTGATTTTCGAAAGGCACATTTTTTGCCCTAGATATTTTCAAAATTCCTTAATTTTCAAAATTTTCAGATTTTTTGGAAGTTGGAAATTTTTGGATTTTTGAATTTCAATATTCCTCTGAAAATGGTCAAAATGCGCGAAAATCAACTGAAAAATACGTTTTTTTCATATTTGTTTGATTGGTACTGTAATCACGAAACCGGTCAAATTGACATACCTGCCTGTACATTGGTCCAAAGACAGAACGATAACAGGAATTTGGTAAACATCGATTTCTAAAGGAATATAGTGTTTAAAAAATGTAAGTAGCGCAATAAGAACAGTATCCACCGAAATGAACAACAAGGACTCTGATATGAGAATACACTATGTGGAGGGCTATTATGAGGTACCGAAAGGCGGCCTTGGGGGTCGACCTCTTATCACTCACATCTCTCTCTCTCTCTCTCTCCGCAAAATGAGATAAGAACCTAATGGTCCGTGAGGGTCATTCTCAGCTCCGCCCCCCTTTCCCTTCAACCTCTTCTACCCGTGTTTACTTCTCTACCAGACATGAGCGGAATAAAAATTTTGAAAATCCGGAATAAGGAATAAGGAATAAGGAATTCCGCTCATGTCTGTTCTCTACTCTGATTATTGTATTTTCAGACGGCCTGTGGAAATGCCAAAACTTTTAAATTGTCAAAAAAAAACGTCGTTCTTTCGTAATCTTTGTTTCATTGTATTGGATGATGCTTGGAGCAAAATACAGTATGGTTACAATCCATGATAAAGAAAATAAAAGATAAAAGATTACAATTGAATCAAGAGACTAAATGGTTTATGAGAAGAGATATTAGAGATATAAAAATAGAAATAAAGTAAAGATAAAAGGAAAACATGAAAAAGGGGAGAATAAAGGATAAACTAGACGGGGTTAAATCATAATATCAGTAACATTTTGTCTGTTGACAAATTTTTGATATCTCTCATGAGTACCGAGATAATTGAGCTCAAAGGGCACATATAGAGCGTATAGGACGCCTAGCAAGAAATTTTAAATTCAAATTTTCAGACCTTTGTCTTCAACTCTAAATTCAAAAAAAAAAAGAATTTATGATATTGAAGAGCAAAGGTATTTCTTCTTGGAGCAGGAAAACTTCATCAGAGTCTCAATAGTAATTCACTCAACCTACTTTGGGGTAAGACATCAGGCATTCTGTTCATTTCAAAGATCACTTTTTTCCAGATCACTGTGAACAATTATTGGACCAAACTCTACGAGTTCCGAATGTCACCAGAGCGAATCGCCAACCTCCGGATCAAAGGAGCTCCGGTGACGGAGCTCGTGAACCTGTTGCCACCATACACAGAAGCGACCTACCAGAAAAAGGATGAACAAATTGAAGATAAATAGATGAATTTGAGAAGGTTTTTTCAAAAGAAACAATAAAATTGGATATTACATTGTTTTATATTTTTATATTTTTTTTCTGTTTGTTTCAACAATTTTACAATAGATATTTCTGATCAGAAACACAGGTAATACACATCGAGAGCTATAAATCCTATTTGTTTTGTTAAATTGTTTTTAAAAAACTTGTCACTTATTCTGAAATCGGGATAAAGAAGTCTAATCTAATTACAGTATATTCAGATAAGAAAATGATTATGACATTTCTGAAGCTTCAGAAAATGGAATGTCGAAAATTTTAAAATTTCGGTATTTTGAAGTTCTGAAATTGTTGTTTACCCCCTCTTCTTATCTCGATTCCACTTCTTTTTTCTCTAACTCTCTCACTCTCTCATTTTGTTTACAACTCTTTTTCTTCCGATAACTTTTCCCCATCTTTCCCATTCTCCTTTTTCTTTCTCTTCATATGACGTCGTGTCTTTAGATGTCTCTATTCTAATTTTCTTTGAAATTAATTACTCACTAATTACTATTTAATTATCTACTAATTATCGATTTCTATATTTATAAAACAAAAGGGATTCCGTTCGTTATTTCTTTAGGGCCAGAAGAAGAGGTTAGTTTCTAAAAAAACTTAACAACCTGTCGTGGAATATCACATATTCCACGAGTCTTTAATCTCAAATGAGGAAAATCCTCTAATGTTCTTTCAGGTTTCTTCAGATCTTTTACACTCCAACGGCCTGCATTCAAACTCCCGCCAACGTCACCAGTTTGAAGCGTCTCGTGCGTACACTCCACCAACAACACGCTTCTCCGGCGCCAAGTTCAACTCACCTGCTCAAACATGTCACATTAATTCTCTCTTATCTTTGAGATGACCTTAAGTCATCTTTCGCTAACCTTTTCTCTATAATTATATTTAATAAAGACTTAGTAATAAGTCAATGTACTTTCTATTGACATTTAGGTGCACAGTTTCTAATTCCTCACATTCGTTGAACTCTTCATCGTTTTCTCTCTTGTCTTCGACGTCGAACCAATTGTGGTACTGTCTCTGGCAGTGGACCACAAAACAACCTACTAATGTCTTAGTCAATTTTATTCAATGCGTTTGTTCGCGAACAATTGGACTTTGAGGAGAGAAGACGAGCAATGTAAACCAACTATCACTAATAGACGTTAGAGTAGAAGATCAGGGTTTTTTTGTTCGTAAGTATATTCATCATATTCATGAAAATACAATGAAATTCAGATCACGGTCAATGATGAATGGATCAAGTACTTCGAGCACTTTAGTAGTTTATAGCACAATCAACTATAACCATCTGTGGCGGCGGTATAATCAGATATGTGCACATCTTTGCATCTACAGCTCCGACAGAATTCTGAATCCAGTGGAAAAGAATCGGAAGAAACTAGCGAGAATGAACAATCACTAGTTTAAAAAGATAATGCAACCAATCATTCAAATAAATCATTCAAAAACCGTGAAGAAATCATTTGAAACGAATCACTCTGAAATGCTGAGTTCCTTGAATTTCTGAGTTTTTAAAAATCGTTTATGATAGTTTAATACGTTTCAATTAGTGGTGGAACTTGACACAATGCACCTCTCGAGCAAACGTAACCTTTCTCTTCACAAAACGTAACCTTTCTCTTGGATGAATCACATCTGAAGAATCCGATATATTTTAGGAACAAAATCTTTTTTCAGACTTACGGACTATGCAGAACATTGGAATCATGAGGGCCTGAATGATGGAGACAGTAACCAGTTGGTATAGATTGTGGTGTGCCTCCAGACCACGGATAATTAGTACTTCCATTGTGAGTAAGGTCTTCGAATAGGAATTCAGTGTCGGTATTCATGCCGTCTATCCAATAGGTCAAATAGTTGTATGAGTCGGGGTTAGAGGTGTACTTGGAGGAGTTGGATATATCTGAAAACATACAGTTAAACATACTTTTTCAGTTAATTTTGGTCATTTTCAGCGGCCTGGATCTCGGCTGATTGAAGGGTTGAAACAGACCTAGATTAAAAACTTTGCATTTACAGAATTTTTTTGAAAATTCCTAAAAAAAAAATTTCTTTTAGATTGTTCATACATAAGGTTTTGATTCCAAGATGCAAATACAAAATCTAAAATCCCAGTTCTAATCGTTCGATTCTGTCCAAGAACCAACTTCCTAGCTCATCTAGAACTCGAAATACGGTCATTTGAAGTTTCCGAAGTTAGAGACGCAGCGTGTCTCGTCGCCTGCGTCTCTAGCCTTCTAAACTTGCAGCGGCTCTATCTCGGTTCCTAGTAGTCAAATCCTCTTGAGCTGGAGGATATACTTAGCGGTCTGATAGATTTATAATGTGACACTTGATGGAAATGTTCATTGAATTGGTGATTTTCGAAAAAAGAGATTTTAGAAAATAGAGGTCCAACGACTAGAAAATACTTAAAGGTGGGGGGACATGAAAAAAATAATGTTCTCGAAATTCCCTCCAAAGATGCCTCTCGAGGAGTTGAACTTGTGAGGGCGTTGATTGAGGGTGCGGCGCCGCTACCGATTCTGTCTAAAAAACCAACTTTCTAGCTCATCTAGAACTCGAAATACGGTCATATAAAGTTTCCGAGGTTAGAGACGCAGCGTGTCTCGTCGACTGCGTCTCTAGCCTCCTAAACTTGAATCCGCTTTCATGAAAGTTGACGAGAAATTATGAAATTTTACTCGAAAATTCAGAAAAAATAGATTAAAAACAGAATAATATTTGGTTCCAGTTCCTAAAATGATGAAAAATGGCTTAAAATAAAGAACGATTCTAATTTTTAAAAAAGAATAGAATATCAAGACTATTTTTATAAATAATCTAAAATCCGTTTCTATTTTTCAGATGACTGACAGAGAATTCACTCTGAAACATGTATTCAATGATGTCGGTAAACTAGAAAATGGACAAAATCTCTATAGTCCAAAAGAAGAACATTTTGGGGTCGATTGGTAAGTCTTTTCGCTCATTTTTCTGATTCCAAGAACTTAATTTCAGGAGAATTAACATGGAAACAGATGATAACCATCTCGGGATTTTTTTAATCCAATATAGCGCTATAAACCAAGAAATTGGCGTTGATTGTAGCATGAAAATTGTTTCAAAAAACAAGGAAAAGACTTGTTCAATGTCTATTAGTCTCAAAAAAGAACAAAACTGCAATCATATGCTACTTACAAACCAAAGTCACCCAAAAGTTTAAAACTTGGGGTAATATGGTATGCTAGAACTCTTTTTAAACAATTATTTTAAAAAATCCATTCTCACTTTTTTTCGTTCAAATACGTCATGAAATCAAATCAATTTTATTCTTATCAGTGTTGAAATTTCCCGTTTTCCTTGCTAACTCTTAAATTGTTTGTCTCTTCTCTTTTCAATTTTCTTTTTTTTTCAATTTCAAAAGACCTCATTTTCATCTTATCAATTCAAGAATTATCAGAAAACTGGGCACTAAAAACTTTTAGTTATTATTTTCTGAAATATCAATCTTTCTTCTTACATAAATCAAAATCGGAAAACTGAAACTTCAAAATGCATGATTTCTGATTTAAAAATTTACCTGTGATTCTCAAAAACTGTCTCAAAGTATCTAATTTTGAACTTTTTTTGAATAAGTTGTGCACAAAAATTGCTAATCACTGAATTTCTTATCACTCCCTTCCCCCACTTTTTGGTTACAAAGTTCTCTTTCTACTTTCTACGTTTAACATTGATATTATCAGTTTCGCTCTTTTTCCTATATATTTTTTCTCAATTTTCAGCTTTTCCAGAAAACATTTTTTTTCAGATGACTGAAAGAGAATTCACTCTGAAACATATATTCACTGATGTTGAGAAATTCGAGCAAAATCACTATCTCTGTAGTCCACAAGAAGACCATTTTGGTATCGCATGGTAGGTCTTATTGCTCATTTTTTAAATTATATTTGTATGTCTATTCAATTGCAGGAGAATAGAAATTGAAAAAAAGAACGGACACCTCGCAATGCTTTTAATCACAAATGTGACGGGAAATCAAGAAATTCACACTAATTATATCCTGAGAATATTCTCGAAAAACCGGGAAAAAAGTTATTCAATGTCTTCGAGTTATATGTTTGAAAGACGCACCAAATTCATTATTCATGGTTGGCACAAAATCATTGAATGGAGAACTTTGGAAGATGAATATCTGGATGATGGAAAATTGGAAGTGGAAGTTCATGTTAAAATAAACAAAATGGTTGGCTTTCCGGAAGAAATTATCGGATTTCCCAGAAAAGATTTAAGAAGTTTCGGAGAGGATATGAAACAATTCTCCGATGTCACATTGAAAGTAAAAGAGCGGAAATTCTATATTTCGAAGTTGGTGAGTCATTTTTTCAGTTTTTGATTTTCATCTATTCAACTTTTTCAGTACCTCTCCTCTCATTCTCCATATTTTGCAACTTTATTTTTGGGAAGATTTCAAGAATCTGAAAAATCAGAAATCGAATTGAAAGATGTCAATCCTCAAGACTTCCAATACTATCTTGAAGTTCTACATCTAGAAAATGGAATTGATGGTGGGTTACTGTACTTACCGTATATTTTGAAAAGAGCAATTTCAGATGATACTGTCCAAGGAATTTTATCAGTGGCTGATATGTTCGACACTCCTAAAATTGTCAAAAAATGTGAAGAATTTTTGGTCAAGGAATCAAAAAAGGGATTGAAAGAAAAGTTGGAAATGGCTGGAAGTTACAGGTTGGAAGAATTGAAAGTGAGTGTTCAGAAGATAATTTTAATCTGAAAAAATTGATCTTTTCAGAAAATGTGTCTGAATCAGATCAAGTCAAGAGCGGATATTAATTCAGTTATTTCAGAGGATCCCAGTGAAATGGACCCAAAAATTCTTGCAGAGCTTCTCAAAAAATCACTTGTTTTCAATTGAATTATTGTTCTTTGTTCGCAATTCATTAATTCTTTTTAACAACAAAAATGTAATTTCTGAATTAATTCAAATTCTGATAATGCTGAAATGAATCTGATAATTTACAAAAATTTGTTTTGAATATTTAAAGAACAACAGAATGAATCTTTTTTTTTATCATCTATTTCATGTTATAACAACTAACACTTAGCAATAAGAAACTCGTCTTTTTCATCTCTTTCTATGACTAATACACAAAAATATACTTCGAATTTTAGAATTAGCAATGAAAAGCGTAGAATATTATTCCTCATCTCTATTTCGTTCATTAAAACCAGTTTCTTCTTGCTAAGTGTCCATTTTCATTTAAAAAAAATTATGTATCTTTTATTTATACAAGTTTTTCTTTTTCCTTTAAATTAAAAAAAAAAGATCTAGATCATTTAACAAAACGTTGGCAGGTTGTGATGAACCATAATACTGAATATATTACTCACTGAAATATTTCATACGTTGAATAAATTTGTGTTGAAAAAATGTCAAAAAATGTGAAAAACTTTCGGAACAACCTGATATTTCATCATTCGCATACAGAAAAATGATTCGAGAGAAGATAGAATCAGGCATCAGAATGCGATTCAGCTACAATAAGAAGTAGAGAGAATAGTGGATCGGAGTTTGAAAGTGGAATGAAAAACTTTGAGTAGAACACAGGTAAAGGGGGACTGCCGAAATACTGCTAAATGACAGCTGAAGAGGCGCAGACTGGCAAATGACTGCTAGTTGGCAGCCGAAGGAGAACCGACGGGCCGTCGACGGTCCGTCGACGGACAGTCGGTATTTCTGACATTCTGAATTTCTGAATTTCTGAATTTCTGAAATTCTGAATTTCCCGGAATTTCTGAATTTGTGAATTTCTGAATTTTTGAATTTCTGAATTTTTGAATTTCTAAATTTCTGAACTTCTGAATTTGTGAATTTGTGAATTTGTGAATTTGTGAATTTCTGAATTTCTGAATTTCTGCAATTCTGAATTTCCCGGAATTTCTGAATTTGTGAATTTCTGAATTTCTGAATTTATGAATTTCTGAATTTTTGAATTTCTGAATTTTTGAATTTCTAAATTTCTGAACTTCTGAATTTCTGAATTTCTGAATTTCTGCAATTCTGAATTTCCCGGAATTTCTGAATTTGTGAATTTGTGAATTTGTGAATTTCTGAATTTCTGCAATTCTGAATTTCCCGGAATTTCTGAATTTGTGAATTTCTGAATTTTTGAATTTCTGAATTTTTGAATTTCTGAATTTTTGAATTTTTGAATTTCTGAATTTTCGAATTTCTGAATTTCTGAATTTCTGAATTTTTGAATTTCTAAATTTCTGAATTTCTGAATTTCTGAACTTCTGAATTTCTGAATTTCTGAATTTCTGAATTTCTGAAATTCTGAATTTCCCGGTATTTCTGACATTCTGAATTTCTGAATTTCTGAATTTTTGAATATCTGAATTTCTGAATTTCTGAATTTCTGAATTTCTGAATTTATGAATTTATGAATTTCTGA